GTATTTTTATTTGAATGTGATTGAGGAAGATCAGATCTTTGAGGTATAGTTGGTGTTGGTTCATCACAACGTTTTGATATAATTGACGGAGGAAGAAGAGATGGAGGTGCGTCATATCCTTCAACACATGGTGGAGAAATCGGTGGAGCGTGACGTTTATAAGACATACGAATTGGTAGTGATGGTGGTGGAAGAGCAGAACCAATTGGAATATCAATTAAACGAAATGGTAAATCTTCAGCCTCAACAAATTTTGTATCATTTCCCATTTTCTTTACTTACAAAAAATAATTTTTTCTTTCTTTATAATAAATCAAATTCCAACAAGTATCAATACGTAGCATATCAGCACGTTTTTTTTTCTCTTCCTTTTCTTTCCTACGCATTGATCAGATGTTTTTTATTTATATAGAATTCGAAAAAACTTTCTTTCTAATTGAATTTATTTCCAATATAATCTTTTATTAATCTATACGATCACCATTATCATTTAAATCATCATCATCATGAGTACGGGGTGAGGAGATTGATGAAGATATTGTTGATGATGCTGGAGATTGAGGAGATGTTGGACTACAAAATTAAGAATAAAAAAAAGAATATTCATTTAAAAAAAAACAACCTATAACGTTGTGATGATTGCGATGGAGAATATGTTGGAGATGTTGGACTGTATTGTGGTGATGTTGGTGAAAGTGATGATGTATAACCAGATTGACTACCTGATGGTTTATAAACCGATGAACTTGGTGAATATTGTGGTGATGTTGGTGAATAAGTTGATGAATAGGTTGGTGATGCACTACTTCCACCATGACCACTCGGAGAATATGTTGGAGATGTTGGACCTTAAGACAGTTTTTTTTTAATTAAAATATTTTATTGTCTAAATAAAAGCTTACTGCATGTTGGAGATGCCGGACCCTTTTGAATAGAAAAAAAATAGTCAAATAAAATAAATATATTTGAATTAACTTACTGTATGAAGGTGTTGATGGACCTGATGAAGATTGTGGACAATATGTTGCTGATGTTGGACCTTTAATTAAATATCAAAATATATGTATTATATTTAATAAAATATACTCACTGTATGTTGAAGATGTTGGACTATATGATGGACTTGTTGGTGCTAAAATAAAAACAAAATAAATTAAAAGAAAAAGAAAATCAATGACATACTATATGAAGGACTTGATGGTGAATATGATGGAGATGATGGAGAATAACTTGGACTAAACTTAATAATTAGATTTAATTTAAAGATAAATAAAAAAAAGATTTACCTATTGTTGGCGCCAGAAGTAGATGAGGAAAACTCTAGAAGGAATATCTCCCGAACGGATGCAGCTAGCGATCTGCGGTTTTCACCATTAGAAAGAAAAGATCCAGGGGCATCAATACATGGTAAAATATAATTGGTCAGCAATGGGCCAATCAGATGCATTCACGACGGACATGTTGAGCACGATATTCTGGCGCTGTTTCTCAACTTTGGTGCATTGTCAATTTACGTTTTTGATAGAAAAATTTGTTCTCTTTCAATCTACAAAAGGTCCGCCTTTCTAGCTTGCTCCGTTCAAGAGTTATAAGCGTTTTCCTGAGACCTCTGATTTCAGCCAATTCACCTTAGATCACCCAGAAAACAGTCTGGGATGGGGTAATTCATCATGCTGAGTCGAATGGTGATATTTGTTTTTGAATTCGAAGTCATCTTACTGTGTTATCTCCATATTTCAGAAATGTGGACTTATGTGATACGTAACAGTAGATACTATGAAATTAAAAAAATCTGTAAAAACCATTGTAAGCTGATTTCGAATTCAAAAACAAATATCACCATTCGACTCAGCATGATGAATTACCCCATCCCAGACTGTTTTCTGGGTGATCTAAGGTGAATTGGCTGAAATCAGAGGTCTCAGGAAAACTCTTATAACTCTTGAACGGAGCAAGCTAGAAAGGCGGGCCTTTTGTAGATTGAAAGAGAACAAATTTTTCTATCAAAAACGTAAATTGACAATGCACCAAAGTTGAGAAACAGCGCCAGAATATCCTGCTCAACATGTCCGTCGTAAATGTATCTGATTGGCCCATTGCTGACCAATTATATTTTACCATGTATTGATGCCCCTGGATCTTTTCTTTCTAATGGTGAAAACCGCAGATCGCTAGCTGCATCCGTTCGGGAGATATTCCTTCTAGAGTTTTCCTCATCTACTTCTGGCGCCAACAATAGTTGGACTATAATTAGGTGACGTACGATAAATTCCTAAAATAAAATAATTTATTAAAAAATAAAAAAAAAGAAAGGAAATAAAACCTTGATTTGTACCAGCTTGATTGATTAATGCTGGACTTTGAACTGAATATGTTGGTGAATATAATCGATTTGGAGAATATGATAGTGATGCTGGACTATATGAAGGACTTGTTGGAGAATAAAATGGTGATGTTGAACCTTGTTTCGCTCCACTTCCAGAATAAGTTGGATTTGTAACAGGACTATATGATGGACTTGTTGGACTATAATGTGGTGATTTTGAGCCATAAATATCCGTAGATGAATATTGTGGAGATGTTGAAGAATAACTTGGTGAATTTGGTGAATAGGATGGTGAAGTAACACCATAATTTGATGGTGATTGTGGATGTGGATGACAACTTAATGGTGATTGAATATTTGTATAAGGTGATGGTGACATATTACCAGGTGATGATGGATAAAGTGATGAATAAGCTGATGAAAATCCAATTGTATCTGAACTCGGTGATGGTGAAAAACCACCTGGACCTAAAGGTGTCATTTGTGCCGGTGTTGATGGCCAATATGATGGCGTTGTTGATAAAGATCCAATCCAAGGTGTTTGAATATTTTGTCTTTCAAATTTCATTCTTGCAGGACCACTCATCATTTGATTAAAAGTATCTTGTGCAAAATTCATTGGTAATTCCATCACTGATGCACATTTTTCAATATCTAGTAATAAATCAAATGTACCAGTACCAATTTTAGCTAATTGACCAAGAAGAATATTTTTTGAAATGCCTTTTAATGGATCAAATTCAGCATGTGCAACACAAGGGGGGAAAAGCGGCTCCTGATGGATTCTAGGATCCATCAGGATCTACAGAATCCGTCAGGATCCAAGAAGAGCCACCAGGATCCAAAAAGAGCCGCCAGGATTCATAGAATCCACCAGGATCCATAGAATCCACCAGAATCCATAAAATCCGCCGGGAACCATAGAATCCACCACGATCCATTAGAATCCATCAAGGACGCTATGTTTCAAAGGATTTTGTCATGATTTATGCGCAAGGACTATTACTCAGAATAATTTGACAGCCATCAAAGGTATTTGCCAGACTCAATACTCAGGATTTGCGAATCTAAGCTTCATCTTGAAAACCTGTAGTTAATCTTATGCATACTTGTCTACAGGTTCAAAATTTCTTTTCTCATATCTGAATACCTAGAAAAACTTGAACATTCAAGTATACAGAAAAAGAAGAATTAAAGCAATGATTTACCCCTTTTATTCTTTGATTTAATATCCGTAGGAATATTTTTTAATTAAAACTATCTAATTTTATGAAATATAGAAGTTGGCAGATCGAAACAAATAATTATATTTTTCTTCGTGAGAGCAAGTTTGTTCAATTGTAAAACTACTCTTAGAAATCATAAGAGAAGTAACTACGAAATATTAGTCGAGTTTTCTTATTGCTGCATTCGATATGAAAAAACAATGAACCAACCATAGTACTAACAAGCAAGAATATACGCATCTCTTGTAATATAGTTGAGTATAATTAAATTTAGTATATAAATTAACACAACTAGCTTTGGATCTCATAAATTTATCAAATCTAAGTCATTATCAGAAATGATTTTTACATAGAAAGAATAATTTTATCTATCATCAGCACCAGAGGTAGGCAAAATACTCTTATAAGAGTGTGAGTTTATTGATATTCGATATCGTAGATAAGTATGTATTTGAACAAATCTATGCTTGACACAAGTGCAGAAAATGTTTTCCAAGGAGAACTGTGTCACATACTCAGGATTTTGGAGAAGTTCTCAATTCTGTCATGAAAGGTGCGGCATATTCCGCGGAAGAAGTGAGCATTTCTCCAAATTTCTGGATATGTGACACTGCTGTTCAAGGATGAAATATGTAGCTGATTTCTTTTCTTGATTGTGTACGTATTAGTATCCAATTGCCAAGGCATTATACTATGCTACAGAGAGAGGGATACTCCACTTTTTAAAAATTTTTTTCACGAAACATTCAGTATGTAAGTGGCAACTGATTCGTCTCGGA